GGAAGGTTCATTGGATTGGGTACTGTTTGCATGACATCGTCACTTTTAGATTTCTTCATTTCAAACAAATAAATGTAGACTATATCTGAATCCATATTAAGTATGTTATGCACACCCATCAGTACGTATGACTCTGTGTACTTAACTGAGCACTCATGCTGTGCCCGGCTTGTGTGAAAGTGGCTCATGTTCATGGTATTTCACTGACTACCTATGATATAAGTACAATTACTACCCCTATTTTTTTAAAATATATTTTTACTGATTTCAAACAGGAAGGTAGAGGGAAAGAGAGATAGGAACATCAATGATGAGAGATTGATCGGCTCCCTAGGGCCACAAACCAGGCATGTGACCTTGACCGGAATTGAACACAGGACCCTTCAGTCCCCAGGCTAACGCCCTACCCCCTGAGTCAAACCACCTCAGGCGATTACTACCCCTATTTTACAGTTGAGAAAACTGCGGCTTAAGAAGGTTGGGTAACAGCCAAGGTCGCACAGCTAGTAGGTAAATATTACCGCACTCAAAATTGCTCAATAACTCATTGTATTGATGATGCTGTGTTTTGCTTTAATGAAGCACAGAGGCTGTGGTGTAACTGCTTTTAACTTCGAATGAAGCGCCCCGCTGAGCTCCGAGTAGAAAATAAACAGGAGGACAGGTGTGACTTGAAGAGAGTGATGGGGGTTGTAACCCGAAGCCTCAGCGCCCGCAGCGCCAGCAGCTCTGGAGGCTGCACCCAGCCGTGCGTCCCTAACCTTCCCTGGGCCTGGCGTCTCTTTCTTCCAAAGTTGGAGCTCTCCTGGGTGGGAGGGGGCGGGAGGAGGGGGCCGGTGACGTCACTCGGGAGCAGGGATAAAGCTCCCGGGGCCGGGTCCCAGCCAGGACACTGCCCAGGGCGCACAGTGACTCTCGCCGTGCGGAAGGAGACCCAGCAGGCACCATGCCCCAGAACGTGGTCCTCCCCGGCCCTGCGCCCTGGGGCTTCCGACTCTCAGGGGGCATCGACTTCAACCAGCCTCTGATCATCACCAGGGTAGGTGTTCTCCCTTCTGCTGCTGCCAGTCGGGGGCCCCGTGGAGCGGAGGGTGGCCATCGAGCCCCGGTGCGCGGCGTGGTGGGCCCTCTGCTTGGAACAGGCAGTTGGAGGGGCGGCAGCAACTTGGCAAAGTGAGGTTTGGAGGATGCAGAGCCGCTGAGAGAACTGACCTGTCAGCCCCAGCGGTCCGCCTGCATCCTCTCGGTCCCCAGCAACTTTCCGCCAGCGTTTCCTCTGGGCTCAGAGAGGGCGAGGGGGCGAGGCTGCGAGGGCGGGGGTCCTCTGGCCTCCACCCTCCACTCTGGCCTCCTTCCAGTCACAATGGGCGGGGGCGGGGGGCGCAGGAAGGAGAGATGGGGCGCTGCAGAGAGAGAGATGGGGACCCGGGAAGGAGAGAGAAAGGACCGACACTGGGGGCTGTTTCTTGTCTGGATGGAAACTTCAGCCAGGCGCTGTTCACGGGCGCTCCCTGGGTCCGCCAAGAGGGAACCACTCTTATCAGCCCAGACAGCGAAAACATTACTAATCGGTGTCCCTAGGTTTCCAGGCATTTTGAATAAATATTTTCCAAAGCTGGGAACTTGGCTGAGAAATCAGCACCTAGAACTGAAACTACAAAGAAAACGGGTCAGATCGTTTTGTTTAATCTGATGGAAAATCAGCATTCAGCCTAATAACTCTGAACATAAGGCTTTGCTATCAAAGCCAAGCTTTTCTTACTCAGTATTCTTTACAGTATTGTCTAATCGGAGGGAAAGAAAAAGGAAACTCCGGAGTTTCTGTCCTCCCCATAAACTTCTATTTAGTGTAGTTGATTTCTTTCTAACACAAGTATTTGCCTTAAAAGAAAATTATTTCTATCATCACATAGAAACCATAGTAAACCTAATACTTTTATCTGTTGTTTTTTCTCTTCCCTGCTGCTTATACTGCATCTTATAAACGTATACTTTATAATCTGATTTACTCCCATAGATTTTTGAACAAGATAATACCTTTTAAATTCTGTTCTTACTTATATGTCTATGAGATTTGAAAACCAATTTCTTTTAAAAAAAATACCTTCAAACATGTATCATACAAAGGCACACCATGGAACATTTCAAGCTTTGTTTTACATTTTTCAAGAACATATAAACACATCTGACATGCGTTTTTGTATGAGACATGAAAACTTAACATACCCCCAAAAATGTTCCTAAGTAAACTAAGCAGAAAAGGGTTTGGTGATCTGGGCCAAGCAATGCCTTTTATGGATCTACCAAAGAAAACAGTTTCCATTATCTCTACTAAGAAATATTTTTAAAGTTTCTGAAGTATCGTTCTCATTTGTTTATATTAAGTGAAATAAGCTTTTGAGTTCCAACAAAAGATAAATCATATTTATATTAAACCCTAAAGAAATAATTAAGTGATTTACAAAGGGAGTATCTTGCTATTGCTATGCAGCATGTCAATATGATTCATCTTGTGTTTGAAAGTCGAGCTGTTGACATTTGGAACAATGTTTATTTAAAGCCGTGCGTACATTCTGGGGTTGGACTGCAGGCGCTCTTTGTAAACATATTTGATATGATGACAATTATTACTTGGGAGGCCAAGTCTGGTTTGAATTTTTAACTCATTACTAATTGTATTGATCATCGTGACGCTTGGTTCAGGAACAGTGCAGCACCATGCATGATTGTTCATTTGACCATGCCTCTTCTCTTTGATTAACTTAACTCACAGAGGCAGGTAAAACTGAACTGCCCTGTGTTCCAGGGATCCCCCAAACCGTAGGAGATTCGTGTTGAATAAATGAAAACACATCTGCATGAACTTTTTTGCCTTAGTGAACACCTAATTGAGACTATTTCCACTGAAACTGTAAAAGTACTAAAAATCATTTGGAAAAAGACTAGAAGATATTGCAAAAAACTAATGAGCATTGTTGTCCGTAGGTAGTAGGATTATTCTATTACTTTTATAATCTTTATATTATGTGGAAAGGAAGTGAATAAGGTTGCTTGCCATGCTGTCTTCTAAACCCTTTATTTATAGTCACAGACTCACTCACATCTCACAATAATCCAATGAGAGCAGGAGTGCTATGATCCCCTTTTACAGATGGGAAGGGGGAGGCCTCGAGAGATTCATTAACCTGCGGAGGACAAGGGGTGGGGCAGAACCGATGCCAGGTCTACCTGCCTCCAACGGCTGCACTCTGATGTCCACACATGGGAAAAATCTGCTTTCTGTACAGAGATTTCCAATAGGTGTTCTGTGCCATCCAATTCATCACCTGGTTCTGTTGATTCTCTATCTTTAACATCTACCACTTTTCTTTGTTTCTACCACTGTACCTCTTCAAGATTTCATAACGTCCTGCTGAGCTGTTTGTCTCCCTCCCCAATTTCCCCTGCGTGTCCTTCCCAGCCATCTTCGGGAGATGCAAGGTTGCTCCTATCTTCCCCATTCTTACACACCCCTCAGTAGCATCACCAGAGTATCTATATATATAAAAGCCTAACCAACCAGCCAACCGGCCAGTAGCTATGACACACACTGACCACCAGGAGGCAGACGCTTAATGCAGGAGCTGCCAAGCAACAGCAGCTTTGCAGAGTGCCCTCTCGCACTCCGGGACCCCTCAAGGGATGTTGGACTGCCCGTTTCAGCCCGATCCCTGCAGGCCACGCCGAGGGACCCAACTGGTGCACAAATCCATGCGCCGAGCCTCTCATAGTGAATAAAATGTGTGGTCTTTACACACTCAGGGCTTTCACCCTCTATCCCAACTCGAGTTTCTAACTCTATTTCCTCCCTCTCTGGCCCTCTCTCCCCCTTTCCTCCTTCCACCCATCAATAGGCAGCAGTGCCATGACTCTGGATTACTCACAATTTCTCTAACAAATCTTTGCTCCTCTACCGTTTTCCTCCAGAATTCTCTTCCCCACTCCACCCCACTGTCCTCTATGTAGCATTTGGCCCCTTTGACTACCATAGCTTCTGACCTATGACCTCTCCTCATATCTCACCTGATACCACAGATGTCTGAGTACATCTGTATCCCACAAACCACATGCCTCCCAAGGGCAGGAACTTTCAAATCTGTGGGTTACTCAGCACTGAGTACAGCGCTTTGTACATCATATATGTTACAGAATAAATTTGACACAATATGAATGATTGACTAAACTGCTCACTTTTCAACATAACTATCACAAATAAGTATAGATTGTGTCCACAAAAATATCCTACGATAAAGATGAATGACAATTCTTTTGTTAATTGATTTGTCTATTTTAAATATGTATGCAAAGGAATGAATTACCAATGCTTCCACTTAATGCCACAAAAAGTCCCATAAGTGAAATGTATTCCTCAAGTCAATTAAATCCATGTTTGTCCTCCTACCAGCCACCCCCACCTCCCTCCCTCACACAATACAAATGTGGACTCAGCCATGCTGCTCGATAATGATCCTCTGCTACACCAGGGCTGGGGCACCAGGTTATCAATGTCATTCTCTCCACCCACTTCCACTGAAATATACCCCACCATTGCTTACAATCTAATTAATCTGTCAGGTTGGTCTTTATATCATAAAAAAGAACATCAGAAGTAAGGTATATCAAAGACCAGACATTCTCAAAAAATTGAGCAATTGAATGTGACGCAGACAATTTTTAGGAGAGCAATTTCTAGCCAATAGGTGTTCTAGACTTTGTGCAATATAAGTTATGTTGTGGTGTTGAGCTTGGGGAGTGGGAAGTTTTTGCCGCCACCATATATAACTGCCTAAGTGTTTCACAGAATAAAGCCCAGGGCTCACATCTCTAAGTGAGCAGCATCTCTTTTCTTGGCACGAAGATTCTAAGGAGTCTTTCTTTTTGAAGTGTGTGGACCACCCAGAAGGTGGATCTATTATCACTGCCAAGTTACAGATCATTTGTTTTCACAAAGGGTCCAATCTGGAATAAAGTGCAAGGTTCGTTCGTGCACATGATGGAGAATTAGTGTCTACATCTGCTGCCAGCATGTCCTTTCCCACTCAATCCCTCTTCCCCCTTCCCCCTCCCCCCTCCTTCCTATTCAGAGCACACCCAGGTTCAAGATCACTGCAACTGAGAATGCTATGTGCACTTGGGTACCAACACAGGTGTTAATGCAGGCTTGAGTTCTCCAGGCTTTACCATAGAAATGTGTATTACTTTAACATGAACTGTATTTGAAATTTGAACTTTTAGAAAGAAATGTGTACAGCTGAATGCAATCCCTTTCCAGGATTCAAGTGTAGCAAGAAAGCTGATGTGGTTAAAAATCTATTTAATTTTGTTCTCCCAAAGACGTGTCTGCATGGAAGTGCTGGTTCCTATGTGCATAACATTCATCCATCCCATAAATATCTACTAAGTGCAGGATGTGTTGCCTGTGGAAGGCACTGTGGGGGACACCATCGTAACTTAATTGGTTTCTATGCTCTGAGAAGCTCACATGTCAGTAGCAGAGAAGGGACATGTGCATAAACCACTGTGATAGAACCTGTCCAGGATTCCATGAAATAAAGCATGACCAAAGAGAAAGGAGGAGTCGGGGAGAGAGAGTACCTATGGGAGTGGTATGATGGGATAGTGGAGGAGCTTGGGTTATAAAGTTACACAGATCCATGAGGGAAATTCAGATTTTCATTGCATGTGTGACCTTAGGCAAGTTCCTTATACTTTCTGAGCATCAGTTTTCTCATCTTAAAAGATCGTCTTGAGAATTCAGTGAGATTGTAGTTCTCAATAATAATACAAAATCAATAATAACAATCTATATATGTAAAAGACTAAGCGACCAGCCGACCAGCCGGTAGCTATGACATGCAATGACCACCAGGGGGCAGACACTCAACACAGGAGCTGCCAAGCTGTGGTGACTTGGCAGCTGCGGTTCTCAGGTGAGGCACCTGGAACTAGAGAGGAGGGAGCCCGATTCTGGGGTGCATCACCCGAGAACCGCCCTCTCACCCTCAGGGGATTTGAAGAGCCAGTTTCGGCCCAATCCCTGCAGGCCAGGTGCACCAGGCCTCTAGTAATATTATAATAGTTCTCAACCCTGGCTGCACAATAGACTCACCCCAATAACTTCAGTACATACTCATGCCCAGGTACTATTTACAGAGATTCTAGGTTCAGTGGTGTGGGTATGGCTCTAGAGATGCAGACTGTGGGTGCTAGAGGGTTTGAATGCCAGGAGAGGCACTGGAGTTTATTTGTACACAAGGGAGAACAACCAAATAATGGGGTTTCTCAACATTTTGATCCACGCTCCACTGTAAGCCCATCAGTATATACTTGTCTTGCTCCATAACTATTTCAATCATTTTTATTATTAACATAAAAATCCCATAAGGGCAATATCTTGGACTTCCCTTGTGTCTCCCACAGTAAACAGAACATTACAGATGTTTCATCTCTGTTTTACATTATTTTTTTTCCAAACAGACCCAAGTAATAGGTTGATGTGAATAATGAAAACCATCTGAGGCACTTGTTCAAAACACACATTCCCTAGCCTCTCTGCCAGAGCTTCTCTGCCAGTGTTCACAATTCCAGAAATCCAGAGCTGGGTGAGACTCCATGGTCAGCAAGGACCCCAGGTGGTCCTTCTAATCAGACAGGCCTGAAAACATGGCGCTCAGGGATTGATGGCAGTACTGTCTCCAGTGGTCTCTCCAATGCTTTTGACATTGGAGGCCCTACTCACCTGAATAATAAATAATCCATTGAAAACTCTTTACCTCATTTTAGCTCTCTTGTCTCCTAATTTGGGAAAACATGTTAGTAATAATATAAAATAATATAATAATATCAAGTAATGCATGGAAATAATATATTCTTGTGTTTAAACATAGAGTTTAACTTACTACAACCAGACCAACGTAGTGGTCATTTTCTGGCCACTAGACCAATTGAACTTGAGAACTTGGAAGAAGTGAAGAACAGTGTTTTCTCCTTCTGTCTCGCCCCTCTCTCTACATCCTTTTTTCTTTCTTACCGACTCTCTCCTTGGAGATCCCAGGACATCCAGGTTGAAGTGGGCTCTGGCCATCACTACCAACCATCTTTCCTATTGACCTCTGAAACATCTGGTGACAGAGCTGTGTACAGCTGCTCCCAACTTTAGTTAAGAAGCCACGGGGTTACTTAGACACTTCTCTGAAAATAGGGGCAGTCTTCCTTGTCCAGCCTGTCTTCAAGCTGTTGCAGTGGTCAGATTTATTAGAAAAAGCTTTGCAAATGTAATATTTGGGGTAAACATAAAAATAGTGTTATTAACATCCATATCAACGCTGTTAATAACATTTAGAATATTCAGTATCTAAGTTTAGCACACCAGATGTCTCTGTTTAAAATTTATATAAACAGATACACACACAACTCTACCTTCCACTCGTCCTAACCAAAGCTAAAAGTTAGCCTTTTCTAAATCAAGAGTGAGTGTTATATCACCCAAATCTATTTGATTATATTAGAAAAGCCCGGTGAGGCTTTAAAAGCATATACATTAACCAATGTTTTCTCATGCTTTGACTCAAAGAAAAACATTCTGATCTTAGAGTTTTAAAAATTAGATAGTACTGATTTTTAATGAACTCTAGCTAGAGAAAATTAAAAGTTTAAGATTATTTTTATGCCTACAAGTCACATCAGGGCTGGAAACTTGTTATTCTTCTAACAGTTGTGGGTTTGGGAGAATTTCTAAATGGAAAACATCTATGAAATGCCCCCCAGAGACTGAGATGTAACCATCCCCAGTTGCCTTCACCCGGATCCTGTCAACTATCCCTAATGGAAGTGACCATGATCACTGCAGTACCATGATCACAGAAGTAGGGTGAGCACAAGAAACATCTCAGTGATGAGGCTGAAGATTTAGGGCATGTGAGAATTTACTATTTTAGCAATTTTGCTTATTTAGATGAATCTTGTATCTCCCTTAGAGCCACAAAGTGAAATAGAGTTAATAGCTAGACTAAAAAAATGCAGGGGGGAAATGGATTAATGACTGAACCTCAGATAAAACATTAGGAACAGTCTATATCAGGGGTCCTCAAACTACGGCCCACGGGCCACATGCAAATACAAATATTGTATTTGTTCCCGTCTTGTTTTTTTACTTCAAAATAAGATATGTGCAGTGTGCATAGGAATTTGTTCATAGTTTTTTTTTAAACTATAGTCCAGCCCTCCAACGGTCTGAGGGACAGTGAACTGGCCCCCTGTTTAAAAAGTTTGAGGACCCCTGGTCTACATGATTCCTGGGGCAGTTTCAGATTTAAGTCAAGTTCTATGTATGTATTATTCTGCTCTAAATAGTGGAAACTGGCAAATGTAACAATGACAGGTTGACATGAATGGCACTAATCTTCAGGCATAAAAGAAAAAGAAATAAAGTATTACAGGTGTCCCCCTTTTTTCCCACTGACCCCCTCCACCCTGCACCCACTCCTCCCAGGCCTTCACCACACTATCATCTGTGTCTTTGGGCTATGCATATATAAATGTAAGTTCCCCGGTTAATCTCTCCCCACCACACCTCACCCCCACCTTCCCTCTGAGATTTGGGTGTTGGATCCATCATTCTGTGTCTCTGGATCTATTTGTTCATCCGTTTATGTTGTTCATTAGATTCCACAAGAGTGAGATCACATGATACCTATCTTTCTCTGACTGGCTTATTTCGCTTAGCATAATAAAATGTTGCATCTTGTTAGTTGTTTTCTATTTGTTCCATCTGTTCTCCATTCATGAAGAAGAGACTGGATGGATAGAAACTTCCCCTGTGTCTGCAGTTCCCAGGGATTCTAGACTCTCAATACTAACTCACACTCGGCCTTTAACAATCTATAATAATAAAAGGGTAATATGCTAATTAGACCAGACGAAGCTAGGGCCGGAGGGAAGCCCAGGTCCCAGGTGCCAGAGGGAAGCCGGTGCCAGCAGCCAGGGGAAGGAAGGCTTAGTCTTGCATGAATTTCGTGCATTGGGTCTCTAATCTATATATATAAAAGCCTAGCGACTGGACCAGCAGAATGACCAGAATGACCAGTGGCCATGACGTGCACTGCAGCAGCCAACCAGCCTGATCCGGTCCCCAATCGGCCCCCAACACCCCCAATCGGGGACAGGGCTGGCTGGCCAACCATCCACGGCCCCTCCCCCTGGCCAGCCCTGCCCCTGCGGCCCCCAACACCCCAATCAGGGGCGGGGCCAGCTGGCCAATTGCCTGCGGCCCCTCCCCTCCACCAGCTTGGCCCAATGGGCCCCCATCAGGGCAGACAGCCAGACCCCACCTGTGCACGAATTCATGCACTGGGCCTCTAGTTTATTCGTAATTTTACTTCTTCTTAACAGCTAGTGTGGTGGCCCCATCTTCCTCCTTGCTCTGATTCAGGGTAGCCCATGCTTACATTGTGCCTTTCCTTGGAGGCACCTGTCTTTCCTTAAATTGCAGGCTAGTTGGTTGCGCTGCAACTTCAGCTCTCTGAAGAGCTCATCAAAGTTACAACTGGATTTATTATGTGGATTATTCTATTAACTCTAAAGTGATTCTCTTTCAAGCTTTCCACATCCTAAGTAACCCCTGAGTGAATCATAACTTACAGGGATGCTAAAGCAGTTTCAATTCAAATATAAAATCTCCCTAAATTCAGTAAAGTTCTATTCCCAAATAGTTTGGGCTGACAAAAGAAACCTAAAAGAAAAAAAAACAAATTATTTTGTTTAAAGCAAAGAAAATATCATTCAAACAGGGAGATAGGAAGGTGTTTTAAAAAGAATAAGACGTGTCATGATAAATGAAATGTGGTTTGTAAAAAACAAAATTACTTCACATGATGGGAAAAGAAAGCTAACACAATTGATCAATTAAGAGTCATTGTAAGTTAGATTTATGACTGCCTACCCAGTAAAACATTTAAAGTGTTACCAAGCTGAAGTACAGATGTCAGGCACAAAACTCTGGATATCTGCAAGATGCTGATTTTTTTTAAGTGGTGCCATGATTTCTTCCAGATTACTCCAGGGAGCAAGGCAGCGGCTGCCAACCTGTGTCCTGGAGATGTCATCCTGGCTATCGACGGCTTCGGTACAGAGTCCATGACTCACGCTGATGCACAGGACAGGATTAAAGCGGCAGCGCACCAGCTGTGTCTCAAAATTGACAGGTGCTCTTTAACTGATGGCGCTAAAATGTGATCTGTTTGGCAGCAGAACCTGAACCAAAACGATAAATGATCTCATCCTCCCCGTGAGAAGCCTGTCTCAGAAACTAGGCATTTGACTGGCTTTTTCCTAGATCTGCCACTTTGGTCTGTTCTTCCCTGACGTCAGTCAATCTAGTCGTTGTTAACAAACCATTTCTAAAAGGAACTCTCCGGAATGTCAGAATAGTGAAAGAGGCTAATGGAATTTTTTTCCTGGACTGGTCCAGTTCATTGACAATGAAAATAGAACCATAAAAGGTATTGGCCACAGGAACACTACACGGCATGGCCAGTTGCCCTGCTGTTCTAAATGTGGTAGAAAATGGAATTCAAAGATTCTCCTAAAAGAATCTCTTGGCTTGACAAAATATGGTCATGTTAAAAACTGGTTGCTGATATGCTGCAGGCCATTGGCTGTTTTGTACAGAATTCAGCCCAGAAGAATCTCACAAGGTGTGAGAGTGTGTGCACATTGAGAGTATTAGATAATGAGCCATTTCTGACCAAAAACAGTCTTAGGTCATTGAACCGGAGATGAAACAACTGTGGGAACAATGTTTTGTGACAGTGGCTGTTAGTGTGTTCATCCTGCTGCTGTTGTGTTCACAATCTTCCCTGCTGGTACAGAAGGCACACAGTTGATCGGCCATTTGATGGGGTGAAATTGACTCTTTCCCTGTCTGTGCATAACCTGTGTACCTGCCAAGCACACCATCCCAAACAGATCCATAAAAAGGATTGGACAAAGCGCAGATCCTTGATGCCAGCAGCAAATCCCCCCGGCCAGTCACTCCCCGTCTCCTTTGGTGGCCTGGGTAGGCTAGCAGGGCACTAGAGGAGACCTGGGAGCTTGCCCTGGGTCATGTACAGGGGGTCCCTGCAGAATCTCCCTCCTATACTGTCTTCCACATGCACTGGACACCTACTTTCTCCAGAAATTACACAATGTCTTTGCCTCAGTCAGTTTGGGTCGCTATAACAAAAATACCACGGATGACTCAGTGGCTTAAACACCAAGCACTTATCTCTCATGGTTCCGGAGGCTGGGAGTCTGAGATAAGGGTGCCAGCATGCTCAGGTTCTCCGTGAGAGGCCTCTTCCTGGCTGTCTAGTGGCCTTCCCAGGTACACACACACACACACACACACACACAGATTTTGTGTCTCTCCCTCTTTTTAGAAGGGCATTAATTCCACTATGCTCATAAACTAATCCTAATTTCCCTCCAAAGGCCCCAACTCCAATTACCATCACATTGGGGATTAGGGTTTCATCATATGATTGGGGTGGGAGGGAGGGATGGGGCAGTTTACAAACAATCCATAGCAGCCCATCTTGATCCATTCGAGTTTCCCCCAAAGTACACTAAATATGTAAGACTAATTAGATGGGAGAATGCAGAATAATGAACAAGGAATATTGCTTTGGCTTAAATTATCAAGGGATAGTAGTATTTTCACAAACGTCATAGGAAACTGAAGGATGTTAAAACTGGAAGTATATTAGAATTTGGTGCTTACGAATTTATTTTATTTACAGGGCGGAAACTCGCTTATGGTCTCCACAGGTATCTGAAGATGGAAAGGCTCATCCTTTCAAAATCAACTTAGAATCAGAACCACAGGTATGACTTTTAGAGTGAATGATGTTCACTTTACACCTCCTTTTAAATGATGTGGGTGACTTCCAAGAGGAAGAAGTGACAAATATCAAAAACTGGGATAAGTCACCTGATGAAGCAGTTGTCTGCCTTTTCTCTCTGAGATTAATTTAGATTACCCATGTTTTCTTACATCAAGAAAACAAAGATGGATGCCTAGGCAAACATCTTGTCAAAAGACAAACATGTTCTCAGCAGGAAAAATTTGCCTATATTTACACACAGTCCACTTCTTTTTTTCATTTTTATGATGGATTTCTGCCAAATGACCAGGAGGTAATTCAAGAAGTTTAAGGTGTTAAAACAAAGCAGAAATGGGATGGGCAACCATTTGCAACAAGTATCTCCAATCTGTTATTGGGAACTTCAATTCTTCGAGGTCTTCACCCACATCTCATTTTATATCCTCCTTTAATTCTCAGTTCTGGCATTCTGTAATAAAGTTTACTCTAGGAAAAGTCTTGCATTATGTAATCGTGGCGATAGTCTGCTCATGCAGTTGAATTACAAAGACAAAGGACTTTCCCTTGAGGCAACGCTATCTATTGAGCTGAATTCATTTAATCATCTGATGCTTATCTGACCATGTCTTCTCTCAAAAGCCCCAAAAATCTGAAAGTAAACCAACCCTCAATTGTGCTGTATGGAAAATGAAGTTAAGAAAAGGGTTTTAGAACCTCTACTTAGAAGCTCCCCAAATTTAGAGAGACAGCTATATAAATTCAATATCCCTTCTAGAACAAGTGTTCCTGCTAAACTGAGTAGACATTCCAAGATGTAGTTCTCCTAGGCAGATAATGAAAATGAACTGCAGGCATCTTTGTAATTGATGCTTCAGCACTGTTTCCCCTTCAGGATCCTCAAGGATCCTCAACTCCGGTGTTTGCCCTGCAGGTTCCCCACTCGTCTCCGCCAGCCTCCATTTCCTCTCTGTAAACTACATGCAGAGTAGCACAGGTACATGGATCTCACAGAGCTTCTCAAAGATTTGAGAAAAACAAAGTAAAATTTGAGTAAGTAAAGTAAAATAACTTGGCACATCGAATTGTTCATAGAGATGTTGAGTTCAGTGGGAGCTCTTGTAATTATCGGTACCGGAGCCCCTCCCACCAGGCTGTGATCAGAAGGCCCCTGGCCTATTCGCCACAGCGAGACAGGAAGCTGCCACTGTATGGGGCTGCCTCGACACCACGATGCCTTCCTCTTCATGGTCACAAGGGTCATCACAGATTCCTTTAGATTCAAACATGAAAGGAATGGGAGGGTCTAAAGATAAGCTGTGTTTTCTAACATTGCCCAGGACCAATCCTGGGAACCAATTTTCAGCACAGTGCTCTGGCCCACCTCCATCCCACCCCACCCCAAACCCCTGCTGCTGCAGGTAAAAGTGACTATGCAAGGCGAGGGGGATACTTAGGTCAGATGAGGGTAAGCAAGCAAAAAATGGGTAAGACAGGCAGTAAATGTGGTGGGAAGAGATCCGAATGCTCCCAGGTGGGTTGGTGAGTAATAATACCACTAATCAATGCTATATTTGATAGAAAAAAGACTGGAAGAAGAAAAAATGGAGTTCTTGATGCAGAACTGTCACTCGTAGATAGCCAAGCCCACTGGCTTCTTCCCGCCCTATCAATTCATCACTTAGAGCAGTGGTTCTCAACCTTCTGGCCCTTTAAATACAGTTCCTCTTGTTGTGACCCAACCATAAAATTATTTTCGTTTCTACTTCATAACTGTAATGTTGCTACTGTTATGAATCGTAATGTAAATATCTGATATGCAGGATGGTCTTAGGCGACCCCTGTGAAAGGGTCGTTCGACCGCTAAAGAGGTCGAGACCCACAGATTGAGAACCGTTGACTTAGAGGCAACGCGTGCGAAAAGAGATCATGTGGTGCTTAAAAAAAAAAGAAAAGAAAAGGGAAATTTGAGGCTCAGATAACATGCATTTCCTGACCCCAATCTCATTATCACCAGGACAAACTGGGTAGAATTCTGAATTGCCTCTTCCACATATAGCACACATCCAAAATTGTACTGTACCCTTTTGCAAATTATTTTTCCCTTCAAAATCTCTCCTGATTTTTTAAACCCAAGTTCATCCATGTGAGATGCCACGATAGGGGGCCAATTAGACAAATTTGACCAAACTCCCAAAGCCCCAGTGATCCCTGATCAGGTCACAGCGCCCTCTCTGGCGTGTGGGTGACTGACTCAGCCACTACTGTACTTACTAAGCTGAACTGAATTTTAAACCATAACCCTAATTTGAAACACTCTGCCCTCTCAACAATCATGGGTTAGCCCATGTGTCCTGCATTTTGGGGGTTAGACTATACGGACATTTATGATACTACGCACGGGGGAAAGGTAGAGAAGGAAGTAGGGTTTTAAAAAGAAAGGTGACGATTGGGTTAAGGGCTCAGAAGCCAGTCAGATGGAGCCTCTGAACATTCTTTTAGTTTGAGTCATGAGTACTTCTCACCGATACCCTCTCCAAGAGGCCTGTGTGTGAAGGGCTCTGAGATAAGAACTACTTGGGCTCCTTCCCTAATGGGCCAGAGGATTTCTCCTCCTGACATCCTCAGGCCAGGTTTCTGCGAGATCAGCACTCTGGGACAGACATTCCCTCCACAGCACAGCTCACTTCTTTAGCCTCTGCTATCTGAAGTCCCACCGCATACACCAGAACAGAACCCAGTGATAAAGCCAAGCAGTGGGTGCCACTTGTAGGATGACTGGAGAAAGCTAAACTGAGGTTATGTTTATATTCTTCTTCTTTTTTATTTTTTAATTAACACAACGCTATGCAAAGAGTTGCCTTCCCTACACCCACCCTCACACCCCAAATGAGAACTCTGCAAAGTTCTGGACAACAAAGGTGTGTTAGTCTGAGAAACAAATGCCTTTGACACATCATGCCACACAGGTGAGCAGTAAAATGCCTTTGAGCAATACCCAATGTGGGTTCTTGTTCCTCAGCCCAAGTCAAGCATTTATTGTAAGTTATGTGGCCTTTGCTATTGGAATAAAATACTCTTTTTCATTTTAAAAGTAATATATGTTTGTTGAGGGGAAAACCCACTACTATATATCCTAGATCCAAGCACGGCCACAAATAATATATTTTGTATAGTTATTTCCAGTTTTTCCCCCTGTGCATAGGGTTAGGCCATAGAGACTTTTTCTTACACAAGTATAGTGATAATTGATATAAACATTTAATATATAGGGTTTTTTTTCATTTTTCTATGCCATTATGAAATAGTTAAATTTTGTTTTTATGAATTTAGACTTGAAACTTTAGAGGTTATTTAGATTAACCCCAGCCATTGCATAAACACCTTTCATTCAACTCTGAGCCTGGCCTCTGAGCACAGGCACACATTTTTCTATATAAAACATTGTCCTACACTAAAGGCAGGCTAAAAACATTGTTCTAGACTAAGAGCATTCTAGACTAAGGACGTAGAGTTCTATGTCATTCTCCGAAGCCTATATTCTTAAACAAAACATTACCCTCATGTTTGTTTAATGTGAGTTGAACAACTCAACATGATGATGTAGCTTTCACAAGACAGAAGAGGTGCTTTCTCGAAGCAAAAATGGTTCTTTTCTAAATGAGAAGAAGGCTGTTTCCACGCCCATAAAAAGGGCTGAATCCTTGTCATAGACGATTTGATAATGAGGATATACTACATGTACAGTCACGTGGGGTAAGAGTTGACATTCTTTCTATGTTCACAAAATAACCTTGTTCTCCAATATTTTGAAAACTGATGGCAGCCTACACAAAGCAAGCTTTCACAATCCCCATGTCCCCAAATTCTTCCCCAGTGAGAAATGGGAAAAACGTGAAACTTTCTGCAGTAATTTATGATTACTGCAGAAAGTAATCATAGGGTGACTTTATTTTTCATTTGTGGGGTGAGGATGAGGCAGGGGAAGTGAGTATTCATAAATTTCAGGCATAAAATGTAATCATTTAGTCAGTGTGGCTTGATCAAATGTATGATCCCTTGATATCGTCTTTCCCTTATTCCCCCACCATTTTTCCTTATAATTAATATATATGTGTATTACACACATGTTGTTGGTTGGAGTTGACAACTGCCTCAGTTCTCAGACTCAGTCTTCACCTCTGACAACTTCTCCGAGTGAGAAACTGAGAGGGGAACTGTCTCTGAGAGCTGTCACTGCTGATGCTGTCACTGCTGAGGTCACTCGGGGACTTGGGAGACGGGTGTCAAGAGCTGCTTTCTCCCAATGTCAGCAGATCTCTGCTTTTAGACAGCCCTAGCATCTCATTAACTCAAAACATCATTCCTCAATATAAGCTCCTAACGTTTAACAATAATATTTAAAAATGTAATTAACTGCAATGGTTATTTATTGACTGCCTAAGAGATAAGAATCACTTGGGTGCTTTTGTCTGGGTAGAATAAACACAAGAGCTGGACTCGATTAACTGCGATATAAAGTTTTTACCAGTATTTTCCATTACGAATGGTTTTCCACTATAAAATTAAAAGGAAATTAAAGTGGAATAGCAGACTTCCAATTGGTTTGGTCTCTCCATCCTGTTTGACCGCTAACAACGATGTGAGACGGACAGAATGTTGCCTCCGTGCGGTCTTACATTTGTTGTTGACCTTTGGCGGACACATTTCATGGTGCTGCTTTTGGAATGACTCTAGCAACCCATGAACTAATGCTTTGCAAAGCCTGAATATGAGGGTTTGAAGCCTGTATTAGAAAAACTTCCTTTTATGATCTGACTAGAAAATAAAGGGATTGTTTTTTCCTAACAAATTACACATTTGTGACCTTTGCAACATATAACCAAACCTGAAAATGGCAAAGGAAGGCTTGGAGCTGACTAATGTATGTGCTGCTATTTGGATTCACCACTAGAGATTACTAGTGCACAGATCTTTTCAGAAAGTTCCCTCCCTTAAAAGACAATCGCCATCCATGTTTATTTACCAATTTAAGACTAATAAGATAAAATAATGACAGAGATGTTTCCTATAAAGCCATCACATGATGTTAACTAGTTTTCATAAATTCAATTATATTTACCAAAATATTTAGAGTGTACCCTACTTTGTTGTTTAAAAAAAAAAAAAGCTAAGTTCCAAATAGCGTGAGCCCTTCAGTTCTGCCCGATTCACTCTTCTAATTAGCCTGAGATTTATAATCCACCAAAACTAAACTAGGCAGTTAAGCAATTAGCCGTCTGTCTTCTTTCATATTGAAAAGAGTAACAAAGGCTTGAATCATGGCCACTGTCATTACTTAAAATTATTTCCAGTTCACAATTTCATGCCATAATAATGGCTAATCAAAATGGTTAATCATAAAACACAGCCCTAAAAAAGGGAGATAATCTCTTTTCTAATTAAAAAAAAAAACTATCCCACAACTTACTCATCTGTAATGACAAGAAAGAAAAAAATGACATGAATAAGAATATTACAAGATCTTTTTATTTTTTAATAAAATGTCTCTTTCTGGTAACATTCCAAACAATCACAAATGTTTGTATTACTTGAAATTTGTGTGAAACACTGGGGGAGATAGTTTCTTTTCTAATTAAAAAAACAAAACACTATCCCACAACTTACTCATCTGTAATGACAAGAAGGAAAAAAATGACATGAATATGAACATTACAAGATCTTTTTATTTTTTAATAAAATCACTCTTTCTGGTAACATTCCAAATAATCATAAATGTTTGTATTACTTGAAATTTGTGTGAAACACTGGTGACACACTCACAAAAACAAGTGAAGCTGATGTGAACATGGGAGTGAAAATACTGCTGCAAAGACTTATCTTCCTAAGTCTGCCAAATGAAAAGATTTGGAAAGGTGACACATTCACAAAAACAAATGAAGCTGATGTGAACATGTGAGTGAAAATACTTCTGCAAAGACCTATCTTCCTAAGTCTGCCAAATGAAAAGATTTGGAAAGAGAATCAGCTCGTGTGGATTGTAGTGTTCGCTTTTGAAAATAAATGTAATAACTTATGAAAATAACTGTAATAACTTTATGACATTATAGATCTACATAAAAATTAGAAAACATGGTTCTGACATTAACATAATAATATAGGGTTTCAGATCATGCGGGCATATTTCAAATTCAGTTTAGGACCCTTTTCCCTGAATAATAAAGTGAAAATCCTTTTGTGAATCACACACATTAGCTCTCTCTACATTACTGACTTTAATCTTTCTGGAACTAGAGTAAACATGAAGAGTTCTTTAAACACATAGCAGTGAAATCGTCACAATAAAAGCAAAGGAGGTATTATATCAATGTTATTCCCACTTTCATCAGAAACAAGAGTCTTTTAATTACTAATTTTTCTAAACTTACGGTATAACTTAATCCACATTAAGAATTTTGGGTTTTTGTTGTGGGTATTAAGAAAAAGCAGGGGGTCAATCGGGGAAAGGAGACATATGTAAAACTTTAAACAATAAAAAAAAGAACTTTTACTTACAAATGCTCACTCCCTTTCTGGCCGTTCTATTCCTTCATTTCCTAAAATGGGGGAAATTTTATTAAGATATTAATAGGAGATAAAGCAAATGTAAGTTCTACTTAAGAAAATGTTAAGTAGAATAGTTTTTTAAGCTAAAAATCTCATTTCTAACACAAAATTTCTCTATTCAAATGAGTCAAATGAGAATTTTCTAAAAGCTATGGATATAGAAGTTAACAAGGGGCAGAAAAGATATAGTGTTTGAATTCTTTTATAATATTACAAATAAGGTCAGTTCCTTTGCACCTAAACATCTGGTGGATGAAGACAGCACAGGTCAAGTTCACGGAAAATGCAGAAAGGTTTATGCCTGACTCCTCCTTTAACCTTGCATTAACCTTGTTGGGTAAGAAGCCTTGATTAACGGTCGCGATTGCTGTTGGTTTGCTCATTAACGGCTCTGTTGTGCATTCTGTGGCTCTGTGTATTTTGTCTGCCATTGTACAGGAGTTCAAAGCCATTGGTACCTCGCACAACAGAAGGGCCCAGCCTTTTGTTGCAGCAGCAAACATTGATGACAAAAGACAGGTAGTGAGCGCTTCCTATAACTCACCCATTGGGCTCTATTCAACTAGCAATATACAAGATGCGCTCCACGGACAGCTGCGGGGTCTTATTCCTAGTTCACCTCAAAAGTAAGTACCGGCCTCCGCCTCCGGCCACCGCGTTCCTAACGGCAATAGCCCGGTTTCTCTTCCTTTCCAAAGTCCAGCTCTTGCTGTTTTACTTTCCTGACTTAAAGATAAGCATCTAGACCAAGGTTGCAAGGAAGAAACCACCCAGGTTCCATCATCACCCTGCTTAGTCATGTCAATAGTTGGTGGTAAATAACCTGCTCTGTACTGTTATTGTTTGTTTAATTTTATCTAAAGTCACAGATTAGTCTTCCACTGAGGGACTGTTTAACCCTTTGTTTTCACAGGATGTGAACTACTTTGAACACAAGCACAATATTCGGCCCAAACCTTTCATAATCCCAGGCCGAAGCAGGTCATAAGCTTTGAGACTGTGAAATTTGGAGTGCATGCTTCTTTAATAAATCTTTACTAATCTCCCAGAAAAGTAACTTGTGAGGCGTTTGGAGTGACTATTTTTTTTTTCCATTTTGAAGCTTATTTCAAAAGCAAAGGAAACAAGCTCAGCAGAGTAGAGAGCCAACTAACCTCCTCCATTTCCAAGAGTAAACACTGACAAGATTACAGAGCTTCAAATGCTCTGCCATCACCACGTATATTTATAACTAATACCCCCGGGCATCCCATCAGGACTCACTGACCTCTGAGGCAGGCAGATGTCCCGATCCCAGCTCCGGAAGGCCCAGCCAGCAGGAACAAAAGTGGAAACCAGCTCTCCCATCAGGAGTAAGAAAGCAGGGGGGGAGGAGGGGGCACAGGTGGGGACACTGGTAGCTGCCTATGTTAGACCCTTATCATCCCCACCTCAGCACCTGCTCCCCACACACCGTCAGAGCAGCTGAGCAACCCCACACCTTCCAGCACTTACATAAACATCAATTTGCATTCCTATGGATACTTGCAAAGGAAGAGGGGATTGAAAAGGAACTTTTCCACCTGGAGGAAAATAAGTAATAACGACAGAGTTGGGAGGGAGGGGTGTAGATTGGTTACCCTCGTGGAAAACTGTGTACATGCTGGGATAATGAGGAAGCTTCAGAGCTGACTGTCAATCAGGGAGAGACCATCTTCAGGTGAACCTTCAAGTATCTTCCCTGGGAAGTGAACGCCAACCCCCAAGGGAAGGGATAAACTTTGCCCTGTCTTACCAGATCAGGAAATGGTGACTTCAGGAAACCTCAAACCCATTCCTCTGGCCTCAGCTACATCAGTCAGCCCCGAGGAAGGATGTTGATGGTCAGGCCGCATGGATCCTAGCCGGTTAGGATCATTGGCTGATGATCTATATCAGGTTTCCCAAACTAGTGAGCTACAGGTGGATTCATTCACAAGTAGTGCTTTATTTAACCCTCTGATTATTTAAATGAATTTAGTTAAGTGCCTTTAAGATGGAACAGCTACTCTCTAGTTGCCCAAATATATGCGCATCACTCCCAAGAGTATGATTCCTGGCCTGTTTTCCTATAGATGCGACCCTCCTGGCCTTTGGAGACACCTGAGGTTATGGTGCCAGCTTTGGATGGTCAGTCATCACTTATATGCGATGCACATGTGCAGACCTTTTCAGACGCTAGAGTCAGGAGCGGAGGATACCTCAAAATAAGCCAGACACTTATCACTTAGACAGGGGTCCTCAAACTACGGCCCACGGGCCACATGCAAATACAAATATTGTATTTGTTCCCGTCTTGTTTTTTTACTTCAAAATAAGATATGTGCAGTGTGCATAGGAATTTGTTCATAGTTTTTTTTAAACTATAGTCCGGCCCTCCAACGGTCTGAGGGACAGTGAACTGGCCCCCTGTTTAAAAAGTTTGAGGACCCCTGACTTAGAAAGAGCAGGAGGAAGATGTCTACAAAATACGTCTTCCCTCACTAGAATGAAAACGCATGACTATATCCACCACCTACAAATGCAGCTGGCACAAAGTGCATGCCCAGTAAATGTCATCAGATAAAGGAACACAACCCAAAGAGTGCCTGATATTTCCTGAGTGGCAAGAAGAGCAAGGAGCTATGATCCCTCCCTCACACCGTCTACTCTGCACAGTCCTTCTTCACTTCTGTTTGTCCCCTTGTTCCCATTCCATTTTCTTCTGCATCTTTTCCCTATTTCACCACATTCAACAGCTTCCCAACCCCAGTCCTGATAATATATAACAACACTCAGTTGAATGTTAAAATGCTATTTTACTATTGAATAAATATATATACATCCTCCTAAAGAAAACAGTTAACCTAATACACCTGTGTTCTTTGAGGTTAGCATACCTTAAATTCACTACCATGAGCTATAAGACTTCAAGAGGCTTGAATAAAATGATACATTAGAGTAACACCTATTTTGTCTTTGCTAAAAACCAATAACATTTAATTTTATAAAATTTCAGGGCAAGTCAGAGAGATTTAGGTACGTGATTGCCTTTTAAACAGGCTGGGGCAAACGTAGGTTTACAGTTGTGAGCACACGAAACACAACTTATTCTTATTATTTATTAATTATTGTATTATTTTCCACGTGAACCACTGTAAACCTACTTTTGCCCAGCCCTGTATTTTCATTTTAACTCAAATATGGTGATAATAACAAGCCATTCATAATTGTGTCATCGTAAGGTGCCTTTCAATATACCTGAATTGGGAAGGGGGGAGAGGAGAAACAGGGATGAGAGACTTGCTTAAAAACAAGTACCAGTACACAAATCAGAAAGAACTGTAAAAACGCCTCTGCTCTCCTTCCTTGCTCCCTCACTGTTGCTCTACCTTCTGAATTTCTTGTTCTGGCCAAATGATTCTTCATCAAGGTGGAATTTTGAGTGGCCACATACCAAGCTATAAGGACACCATAATGACCAACTTTTTAATCAGAAGTAAGTTGGTGATGCCAAATTGTTGATACGTTAATCTCTAGGGCAATGGTTTTCAACACATGTGCCACAAGACACACGCAAAGAATTTATAAAATATGCCACACCTGACTATTTAGTCAGGGGCACTGACCTCTTTTCCTTTAGATTGTCAAATAGAAAACTGACCACAGCCAACACAACAATAGCCATCTTGTATGAATGAATAAAAATTATACCTTTTTTTCCAGATTGGACAAGAAATATCTATATTTTGGTGCACTGTAGAATTTTAGTAATTAGTTTATGTGTGCCATGAGATGAAAAGGGTTGAAAATTGCTGCCCTAAGGTTTTACTACTAGTTATGGTTCTTTTCATTATTTCATCATTATTGAAGCACATTAAAAAGCCAGTATTTCCCTATGCAAACATGTAAATTTTTAAAGCCAAAACTATCATTTAAAAATATATACAAGGGCCCTAACCGGTTTGGCTCAGTGGATAGAGCGTCAGCCTGTGGACTAAAGGGTCCCAGGTTCGATTCCGGTCAAGGGCATGTACCTTGGTTGCGGGCACATCCCCAGTGGGGGGTGTGCAGGAGGCAGCTGATCAATGTTTCTCATCGATGTTTCTAACTCTCTATCCCTCTCTCCCTTCCTCTCTGTAAAAAATTAATAATATATATATATATATATATATATATATAGTATTTTACAGATCCAAATGATAAAATACAATCCTGTATATCCCAAAAACGCCTGTACATATGCCAGAGAAATCAGTTATCTCTCTCTCGATCTACCCAGGAGTGAAGTAACTGGGTGGATCAGCAACTTTATAGGTGGTCTTGCCAAGTCAGTAAGTCAACATCAAGAAATCTCATTAGCACCTACCTTTCCAAGTCACAGGAATAGGTCATGGTGTTGACCTATGATGATATTCACAGTGACTGGAATCCATGAAAACTTCTTTTAAAGATATTTTTATTGATTTTTAGAGAAAGAGGAAAGGAGAGAGAGAAAGAGAAAAAAACATTGATATAAGAGCGAGACATCAATGGGCCGCCTCCTACATACCCACTGAGCCCAAAACCCAAGCATGCACCCTAAATTGAACCGGCCACCTTTTGGTTCATGGGACAACAACCAACCAACTGAGCCACACCAGGAAAAAAACATTTTTTTAAAGCATCAGGTTAAGAGATTTTTTTTAAATGGTCCCAAAATGTATAAGAAAACTAATTCTAGTTTGCTTAGAGTTTATTTCCTATCTATTCAATAGACAGGGGGCCCTAAATAGAATGATAAGGAAATTAGGAAATAGAATATAACCTTTGTTAAATAAAGTTATATACACAAACATGCCTGTATTAAGAACACTAACAACGGAAAGGGATTACTAATTACAAGTATAAAAAAGAGGAGTATCTGTAAATTCTGAATTGATCCTACTTCATCCACTAGCACGAAGCCTGGCCCACAGTAAGATCAGAGTAGTTACAATGCTTGTTGAAAAGGTTCACTACTTTAAGCCCAAGTCTCCCAAGGTTTAACTGGAGTGTTTCAAATCCCAGTTACAATTTAATAAGCTTCACTTAGATCAAATCAGTAGGATCCTGACTAAACTGCATTACAACTGAAATTTCCCTTCTATTCTTTTACCCGCCGAAGTCACTTTCAGGAGCCAGTGTAGCCTTGAGCCTATGGAAACAGTGAATAAGGCACTTGACATTTTGGTTTGTGATCAACCAACTCACAGACTGAGTTTATACAGGTTCTCAAGCCAAGGAGTGAAGGAGCAAGTTCCTATTTGCCTGCCTCATTTGGGCTGTGTAGGTGGTTAAATTGGATAACACAAAACAAAACAAAAAAAACACAACAACTTTTAATCCATTTAGTGGCATGGGTTGTCCAGACTAATCAGTCAACAGCATCGATGCCCAAATCCTTTTGGTTTGTGCTCTCTGTGTGGGGCTGAGGTTAGCATGAGTAGCCCTAGAGAGTAAATGCAGAGATGGATCATACTTGAGCCCTAAGAGAACACTGACGTTGAGATGAACACACCATATGAATCGTTTTCTGTCTTGAGTTTGCAGCAACACTAACCTGCAGGCACGACGGAGGTTACATTAATACTAATATTTCCTTTGGCTTTGTCTTAAATGACTGTGCTTCTAAAAAATCTCAGTATGTTTCATTTTCATATAATGCATGTCTCATGTTGCATGTAAAACGCACGGAGAGACCTGACATTTTAGTCCTTGGCATGTCGGTTGTGACCAGCCTCCCATCTAGCTTCATAGAGAACATGAGCTCTCTCCCCAGCTGTCCTGAAAATTGCATGACTGGCCATTCTGGTGTTTTAATAACAAGTCCCTTCTTCTCTGTAAAGAAAATGATAAGTATGCATGAATATACGTGTGTTTTCAAAAGTTTGCATGAAATAGCGATGTATAAAAGAAATATACCTTAGCCCTAGGGAGCCTCTGAAGAGTCCAAGATCACCTTATTTGCTCTCTAATCATTAATTTCAAGGTGACAAGCATTTGTTGGCTGTTCTAGAGCCTGTATTCAATCACTGAACAGTTTTTAAAAGCATATTCCTCACAAAATTAAAGAGTGAAATAGAAAAAGTTAAAATAGTCCAAATAAAATGTTTACAACATAGCCTTAAAACATAATTTTTATCACATAACCTACATGTTTCTGTGATTCAATTAAACTCAACTGCATTTCTGAAACGTACTTATTTCGAAATGTCTAGCCTAAATATTTAATTGGACCTTCGTGTGGCATATTCAGTTACTATTTGTAATTTTAAATATTGTACCACAGAAATGTAAAAGGGTGCCCAGCCAATGTAATTTCTCTGCACCATTTGTCTGTGATATTGTCAAGTTTAAAATGATCTGGCCTATGTTTAAAAAGTGAGTATGGTCGCATCTTTTCCAGTTTATATATACAACTTGTTTATGTGTGACCTTCAACTTGCGTATCACCTGGTTGAACAGAGCCAAAAAAATGCGCTATCACCTGTACCTTTTAATTTTGTGCAACTTTTTTTCAACCATGAATTTTTAACTGTCCTTTCCAGTTAAAATAAATCGTAGCCAGAAATCAACACTTTGTTTTAATTTGATTTAATTCACTTCTCACTTTTTGTCTTCAATTCCTGTTAACCTCTCTGTCCTTGTTCTCTGTGTTCTCCTGTCTGGTTTTTCTGGTCCTGTGTCCCCTCTGTGTAACGTGGTCATTAACACAGTGGATGCAGTACTCCGTCTGGTATTGACGGTAGCAGCGGACGTAGCACCCCCTCTTCCATCAGCACTGTTAGTACCATTTGCCCAGGTGACTTGAAAGTTGCTGCTAAGATGGCCCCTAACATTCCTTTGGAAATGGAACTTCCGGGTGTGAAGATTGTACATGCTCAGTTTAACACTCCTATGCAGTTGTACTCAGATGACAATATTATGGAAACACTGCAGGGTCAGGTTTCCACAGCGCTAGGGGAAGCACCCTCCATGAGGTAATATGAGTCTTTCTGAACCATGGGCATACTAACTAAACACATGGGCAATGTCAGCTTTCCGGGTGTCTTTTAACACTGTCTTAATGGAAAGAAAGCTATGTGAAAAGCTTTAAGGAAGAAATACTAAGGATTTATTGCAAGTACCTAGCTCTAATGATAACAGTGATTTGAAGAATTAAGTAGAGTTTTATGCGACCGATCGTAATAAGCTAAAATCATGGAAGGGCCAAATGTATATGTGTTTTGAAAAGCTACAGTGTACTTTACAAATTATGGTACAACACCTTTCAAAGGTGATTAACAATCTAGCATAGTCTATGTTTCTCGTTGGAGGGTCAAAAATTGGGAAGGGATGAGAGATCCGGAGGAGTTTTAAAAGAGATGATACTTCTCCCTTCCAATTGCATCATGTGGAGAGGTCATAACTTTCCATTTAAAATTTCTGCCATGAATAAGGGTTTATAAGTGAATATCTTAAGCTGTTAATGTAGATATTTGACTTCCAATTGTCTCTATTTTGATTAATTTTTTCTTTATTAAAAACATTTGTTTAAAGTACTTTTGCCATCAATTTTTTTCAATTAAAAATTTATTATAAGGAAAATCTTATTATTTTTATTTTTTAATGTTACAGAACCACTTTTATAAGTTAAAATAGTATAATTCTTAAGAGTGCTATGTAACAATATGCCAAAGCTATTTCTTGGGATGAATAATAGCATAATGTATCTCAAAGCCAATTTGCAAGGAAATTCAGATATAATTGTTTTCACAAATGATATAGGTAATAAAATTATGTGTAGATAGTAATTACCTTTTCTAGGCAATGTCATTAATGACATAAGCTAATAAAGCATTTAGTGCCTGATGTAGTTTTATTGTGGCATTTTTTATTGTTCATCATGAATATGTTCGTAAGAAGTTTATTAAAATAAAGCTCCCAGGGTTGTTGTAAATGAATTTTAATGTGGCTATTTAGGAAACATAGTGTAATCAATATAACTCACATCTATGTGAAAGTTACATTAGGTGCTTTCAACCACTGGCAGTATGAATTCCTTCAATTTGCAAACAAAATTATACCTTCGTTGTTTTCAGGAGTTAACAAAGCAAATTAATCCTAAAATCAAAATTAAACCAGATACTTTTGATTTCGCATCAGAAATGCATCTGAATTTAAGGACAATTTTATGACTGAGAATAATCAAACTGGGCTCACTCCTGCACTTCCCATCATGTGTATGTTGTCTCTACTTTTCTGAGAAAACGTTTATTTTGTTCCTACTTATAATTATCTACTCATCAGACACAAGTCTGTTTTTAAATTACCATTTCCTAACAATCACCTCTTCGTGACCCTCCATGGTATTTGGCCAAATGGAGACGGGCCGGTGTGAGCCTGAGGTTAACCAATGACATGTTTAAGGCGGCCACAATAGGTGAATAAACGCTATTTGGGAACTGTAACAGAGATGAACCTGAAAATACTGAATCTCCGCTCAGGAGCTACTGCAGGGGTAGCGATGACTGTGACTGGTGTCTTGTGGCTTGGCGCCCGCCTGCTGCTCGCACGCCCCTGACGCCGCCTCGCCTGCCGTGTCGTTTCAGTGAACCCACAGCCTCGGTGCCCCCCCAGTCGGACGTGTACCGGATGCTCCACAACAATCAGGATGAGCCTACCCCGCCCCGCCAGTCGGGCTCCTTCCGGGTGCTCCAGGAGTTAGTTAACGACGGTGAGTGGCTGGGACGCCTACTGAAGGTACTGGCAGAGCCTGTTGGCAGGCTAGGGGGAGGGGAGGACAGCAAACAGACGGGGAGTGGAAGTCTAAATATGGATTTTATTCGGAAATCAAATGAGTCTTGGCCCAGAGGATGCGGGTAGTGCCTGGATTAGGAGAGGCGCTCCCAGGACGTGTCACTTGGTGAAAAGGCACCCAACGCCAATTCCATCCACAGTGCTCAAGGGCTGGCTGAGCTGCCACATTTTAAACAGAGTTTTAAGTGGACGACGCTGCAAAATTTCTCAGCCTCCCATACTCCAGAGTGTCATCATCCAAACCTAAAAATAACAATGTGACGAGCCCGTAGTGTGTTCCCACTTCTGTGCTAAGCACTTTGCCCACATGATCATTTCACCCTCACGGTGACTGCGAGGGAGGAGCTATTGCTTTCCCTGTTTAACGGATGAGAAACGGGGATGAATTTTAATGTGGCTATTTAGGAAACATAGTGTAATCAATATAACTCACATCTATGTGAAAGTTACATTAGGTGCTTTCAACCACTGGCAGTATGAATTCCTTCAATTTGCAAACAAAATTATACCTTCGTTGTTTTCAGGAGTTAACAAAGCAAATTAATCCTAAAATCAAAATTAAACCAGATACTTTTGATTTCGCATCAGAAATGCATCTGAATTTAAGGACAATTTTATGACTGAGAATAATCAAACTGGGCTCACTCCTGCACTTCCCATCATGTGTATGTTGTCTCTACTTTTCTGAGAAAACGTTTATTTTGTTCCTACTTATAATTATCTACTCATCAGACACAAGTCTGTTTTTAAATTACCATTTCCTAACAATCACCTCTTAGTGGCCCTCCATGGTATTTGGCCAAATGGAGACGGGCCGGTGTGAGCCTGAGGTTAACCAATGACATGTTTAAGGCGGCCACGTGAATAAACGCTATTTGGGAACTGTAACAAAGATGAACCTGAAAATACTGAATCTCCGCTCAGGAGCTACTGCAGGGGTAGCGATGACTGTGACTGGTGTCTTGTGGCTTGGCGCCCGCCTGCTGCTCACACGCCCCTGACGCCGCCTCGCCTGCCGTGTCGTTTCAGTGAACCCACAGCCTCGGTGCCCCCCCAGTCGGACGTGTACCGGATGCTCCACAACAATCAGGATGAGCCTACCCCGCCCCGCCAGTCGGGCTCCTTCCGGGTGCTCCAGGAGTTAGTTAACGACGGTGAGTGGCTGGGACGCCTACTGAAGGTACTGGCAGAGCCTGTTGGCAGGCTAGGGGGAGGGGAGGACAGCAAACAGACGGGGAGTGGAAGTCTAAATATGGATTTTATTCGGAAATCAAATGAGTCTTGGCCCAGAGGATGCGGGTAGTGCCTGGATTAGGAGAGGCGCTCCCAGGACGTGTCACTTGGTGAAAAGGCACCCAACGCCAATTCCATCCACAGTGCTCAAGGGCTGGCTGAGCTGCCACATTTTAAACAGAGTTTTAAGTGGACGACGCTGCAAAATTTCTCAGCCTCCCATACTCCAGAGTGTCATCATCCAAACCTAAAAATAACAATGTGACGAGCCCGTAGTGTGTTCCCACTTCTGTGCTAAGCACTTTGCCCACATGATCATTTCACCCTCACGGTGACTGCGAGGGAGGAGCTATTGCTTTCCCTGTTTAACGGATGAGAAACGGGGCACAGAGAGGGTGTGTTTGTTCAAAGTCACACAGCCAGTGAGAAGCAGAGCTGGGTCCGCAGCCGACTCCCGCTGTCTTCAGGGCTCACACCCTTACCAATATTTTCCCACCTCCAAAAGGTAGGTACTGTCCTTTCCAAGTCGCACAAAAATGCATAATGCCCCCTTAGGATGGCTGTTCTCAAAAATAAAGGGACAATAACAAGTATCGTGAGGATGTGGAGACATGAGGACCCTTGTGCTTGGCCGATGGTCCCGCCAGTGCGTGAAAAAATTAAACATAGCGTCACCTCATGACCCAGCAATCCCACTCCTAAGTATACACTCAAGAGAGTTAAGGCAGGGACTCAAACAGATACTGGTACAGCAAATGTCTATTGATGAAGAATAAATAAAATGTGGTATATGCATACGATGGGATATTATTCAGCCTTAAAAAGGAATGAAATTCTGGCATGCCGCAACATGGATGAACCTTTAAAACACCCTAAGTCAGTGGTCGGCAAACTGATTAGTCAACAGAGCCAAATATCAACAGCACAACGATTGAAATTTCTTTTGAGAGCCAAATTTTTTAAACTTAAACTATATAGGTAGGTACATTGTTATTAACTTAATTAGGGTACTCCTAAGCTGGCCTTTGTTAAAAACGTCCTCGCCCTGACTGGTTTGGCTCAGTGGATAGAGCATCAGCCTGCAGACTGAAAGGTCCCAGGTTCAATTCTGGTCAAGGGCATGTACCTTGGTTGCGGGCACAACCCCAGTAGGGGGTGTGTAGGAGGCAGCTGATAGATGTTTCTCTCTCATCGATGTTTCTAACTCTCTATTCCTCTCCCTTCCTCTCTGTAAAAAATCAATAAAATAAAAAAAAAGTCCTCAATCTGAGGGGTCGACCTTGGCGAACGTACCCCCACTTCTTCTAACGCCACTTCTTCAAAATAGACTCGCCCAGGCCGAAAACCGACTCCTGCACATGGGCCATGAAGTTTCAATCGCACTGTACGTGCGCGCCCGCACGTGGTATTTTGTGGAAGAGCCACACTCAAGGGGCCAAAGAGCCGCATGTGGCTCGCAAGCCGTGGTTTGCCGACCACGGCCCTAAGTGAAGTAAGCTCACCACAAAAGGACAAATATTGTACAATTGTACGTATGTGAGTATAAGGTACCTAGAACAGACAAGTCATGGAGACAGAAAGTACAACAGAGGTTACCATGGTCTGGGAGGCAATATTGCTTAATGGGTAAAGAGTTTCTGTTTGAGATGATAAAAAAAAATTCTAAAAATGGATATAGGCAACAATGTTATAATGTTGTGAATGCACTTAATGCCACTGAAGTACACCTAACAACATTAAGATGGGCAATTTTATATTACGTGTATTTTACAACAATGAAAAAAAAATGCAAAATCTCTGCTCCTCTGAGCATTTTGTAACAGCTTCCTACCACAACAAAAACTGCCCACTGACTGTTCTGCAAGGCCCGTTCGGGGCAAGGCATGCTTGAGCTCCTTCGGACAGGAGGCTGCGGGCAACTTAGGAATTCCCTCGGATAAAGTGCACGCCTTAAAATAGAAGCCAAGTACACACTGCAGCCAGCTGTGCCTTTGCCATAAAAGGCGACACTTTGCTTTTCAGATGACCGTCCCTCCGGCACGCGGAGTGTGAGAGCTCCGGTTACGAAAGTCCACGGCGGCGGGGGCAGCGCGCAGAGGATGCCGCTCTGTGACAAGTGCGGGAGTGGCATTGTGTGAGTTTCACTGTTAACCCAGGGTCCCTGTCAACCTCGGTGGCAGCTCCCTGTTTCTGTCCATTGACTTGAAATACAGCGTCCACCACACGGATCTCATTTGACCAGAATTCCTTAGATGTACCCTCACATGGGCGCATAATGTGAGTCAGCAAATCTTGACTTATCATTTCAGATGATTCTCATGAAAAGAAAAATTGCCCAGAGTATATTTAAAAAATCATTTCCAAGAATCCAAACTTCCCTCCAAAGAGCCCCCTCCCCCCCCCTTTGTTAAGGTACCAACTTTGAGGTTTTCCTTTTCTGTATAAACCCAGGGAAACACACACGGCGGCCACCGGGTTGTTCTTTACAACACATTCTCTTTCCCCCGTTTCTCAAAGTGGCACAAATATTCAGACATGATTTTGATAAATAGAGTCCCAGCTTCCATGTCAAGGGCCTTTGTGCTTGAACGCCCACACTTGCTAGTTCACATCTTCACGTGAACCAGGTCATCTCCATCTCTCCACCAAATGCCCCGAGGTCACTTCTCCCATCCGGGCTGTTCTGCTGCAGTAGCCACACGGAGGCACCATGTGTCTGAGTGTCCAGGGGCCATCCCAGGAGGCAAGGCGGTGGGAGATGAGCCTGGTCAGAGCAGAGGGGTTGGGAGGAGCCTGGTCTGTGTGGTTCAGTGGTTGGGCATCAACCTATGAACCAGAAGGTCACGGTTCAATTCCCGGTCGGGGCACATGCCCGGGTTGCGGGCTCCATCCCCAGTGTGGGGTGTGTAGGAGGCAGCCAACCAATGATTCTTTCTCATCGTTGATGTTTCTCTCTCTCTCTCTCTCTCTCTCTCTCTCTCCCTCCCTTCCTCTCTGAAATCAATAAAAATGTATTTTTTTTAAAAGGGGGCGGGGGAAGCAGGCAAGACAGGAAACTCAGGAGAGAGAGGACCTAAGCAGGGCAGTTAGCAAAAGCAATTACTGCTCCTAAATGGCAGCAAACTGCTTGACAGTAGAGGCAAGGCCCCCTGCTGTGTGAGCGCCACCTCCGCCCTGTGGTCCGTCTTTTCTGTGCTGCACAGAGCAGAGGCTGGGCCACGCCACGGACAGCCGTGACACGTGGCGCCTCCCTGTGGCTAATGCATGGGAGAAGTGACCGTGGGGCATTTGCATGGAGAGATGGAGATGACCTGGTTCACGTGAAGATGTGAACTAGCAAGTGTGGGCGTTCAAGCATAAAGGCCCTTGACATGGAAGCTGGGACTCTATTTTTCAACCGGGTGGGAGAAGTGGCCGTGGGGCCCTGACAGGGACTTTCAGTTGTGTCCAGTGGTCGGCAAACTGCGGCTCGCGAGCCACATGCGGCTCTTTGGCCCCTTAAGTGTGGCTCTTCCTAAGCCTTAGGAGTACCCTAATTAAGTTAATAACAATGTACCTACCTATATAGTTTAAGTTTAAAAAATTTGGCTCTCAAAAGAAATTTCAGTCGTGGTACTGTTGATATTTGGCTCTGTTGACTGATGAGTTTGCCGACCACTGGTGTAGGCAACCACCTCAGCCAAGGTCAGAATCCTCTGCAGAATCACGCCTCCCTCTTTCAGGGACACAGCGGGGAGGGATGATAGAGGAACAACCTATAATTGTTATGGCAACGACTTGTTTGCAAATCTGAAAAGCAGTCATCTCAGAGGGAGACGCATGATGGGGTGTCCTGGCCGCCCGTGCATCCCCCTGACACTTACATCCGAGCCGCCGCTGGGCCCTGCGTACCGCTGGGGGCGCTGGTGTCTGATGCGGCTCAGACACACCTGCCTCCCCAGTACCGGTCACCTGGGAGCCAGGGTTCGCCTCTGCGGTTCTGACTCCCCTCCTTCTCTTCCCCAGCGGGGCTGTGGTGAAGGCGCGGGACAAGTACCGGCACCCCGAGTGCTTCGTGTGTGCCGACTGCAACCTCAACCTCAAGCAGAAGGGCTACTTCTTCGTGGAGGGCGAGCTGTACTGCGAAACCCACGCCCGAGCCCGCACGAGGCCCCCCGAGGGCTACGACACGGTCACGCTGTATCCCAAGGCCTAAGCCCCCCGCGGGCTGAGCAGCACGCACACGCAGTTACACGGGGCGACGGTCATGACTTTGGGCAGATGTGGAGCAAACTGCCGAGCCCAAAACTAAAGCCCCGGCTTCAGATGCTTATGTTACAGCGTGCCATGCGGAGAATGGGGAGGGAGGCTGCAGCGCAGACCTGCCTGCCGCTGTGTTTGCAGCTCTCTCTCTCTCTCTCTCTCTCTCTCTCTTGGGGGTTAGCAATAACTTCAGGACATGTACACCAAGCATATTTTTTTGTATGTCAAACTCCACAATTTAAATTTATATGATGACCCTCGAACACGTAAACATCAAGCTATTGGGGGGAGTCTAATTGTCTTTCCTTACCAAGCTGGCTTTGTAGTTGTAGTGAGTACCGAGTGGTAATCTGTATTCTAACACAGCCCGCAGTTGTCTGTTACCTGCTTCAACCATTAAAGTGCATGTCGGGGAGCGAGTCCCTGGGTCTCTCTAGTGTCCTGTGCGGCCATCACACCACTGGATGCGCGTACATAAGAACCACGTGAAACGTCGGACATGTGCCTAGTGAGGCGGCGCTCCATGAATGCAGCGGAATCAACATTCCCGTGAGAGGGCCCCATCCTACGTGCACCTCGGCTACTTTAAGAAAATGTGGCTTCTTCGGTGTTTATTACTCTTTCTTAGGAGCCCTGATTTCTGCTGACAGGAGAGGCATTTACATTTGCTAGTGAAAGGGAATGCCGTCACTTTCGGATTAAACCAGTTTCTTTGGCTTTGAAATAGTCTCTTTCATTTCAAATGTCTCTTTCACATCGATATTCAGTCACATTCAAGGTTCAGGCCCCATGGAGGCTGCTTCTTAGAGCTCAAAGGTTGCTCACCACCTCCTCCTCCTTCCCTAGGCAGCATCTCCAAGAGGAGACAGTGGGGGGGGGGGGGGGGGGCGAAGAGAGGGGCTGCTGGTCCCTTGGGCTCTGCTGCAGTCCCTGATTTGCCTCCTGGTCTGTTTTCTCAGCATAGTTGGGTCTAGGCCAGTAGTCGGCAAACTCATTAGTCAACA